AAAAAGATGACTTGCAGAGACCTTACATTCATTCATTGCATGCTGTGGGTCAGATGTTTGTGCGTACTTTCCCTTCTTTGTTGTGATCAGTTTTGGGTTTCGTTACTGAAACAAGTTACTTATTGGTCACTTTTCTTAAATGTAATGCAGTACGTCACCTTCCAGGAATTTGTTTCACTACTTTTTACACTGTTTTTGCATTTGTCCAAAACACACTGAAACACACTGTCTGATAATCACCATTTAAACACACCAACACTGATCTGTCCTAATGAGGACACACGCCATCTTTCTCTTAGTACTTGGGTGTGACCACGAAGCAAAGATGAAAGCGGTTGCCATGGTGATTGTACTGTAGAAACGGAGGCTGACTGCTCATCAGTGCTCATGTTAACTGTTGAAACTTAGCGTGTGTCTGCTGGGCCGCCATTCACTCAGCTTTAACGTCGCTGGGTTTTTGGCTAGATTAGCATTAGCATGTTTGCAAAGCTCTAAAGTTGCATTAGCAGCATGATGCAGCTGCTGTGGATGCAGTTTGCACTTTACCATCGCACTCCTATAGAAATAAAAGTGATGTCCATCCACTCTGAAGACTGTGGCACTATGAAGTGCAAGGGGAACTGTGGGATGGATAGACAAGCAAACTAACAAGGAATTAGACTTCTGGGAACCGGTTCCTGATTCCCATCAATACTTCGGAGTGCTTGAAGGATCTGGTTAGCTGTGCAACAGCTTTAGTATCTCACACCCACTCACCATCTTTGATTTATTCTTGCAAATCCAACAAAACAACAAATAGGTTTGCACAAACGTGATCATTTTATATGCAAAAACAAAAGTGTTTGGCTGCAACATCTGTGTGTCATGTGTGGGTGGTTGATTATATTCTGACACTGTGCTCTTAGATGCTCTGTGTGCACTGTAACCTCTGGTGTTTTACCAGTGAACTCCCTGTGCTCTTGACACTAGTTTGAGAAAACAGTTGTAGTGTTTTTCAGTTGGCTGCTTGCTTCATAACCTACAACATGTTTGTGTTTGTGTGTCTCCAGAAACACAAAGCTGCTCTTTTTTAACCGACGAGAAGAGGACATTCTTTGGCGCGTTGAACTGGATGAACTGGCTGCTAATAACGACAGGTATAGGAGCTGTGCACCTGGGGAGGGCCTCACACTGTTGGTCATGTTAACAAGAAGCCTCTAAGGTGGTGCATGTGAACAAACGTCAGGGTGGAGTCATCGGTAGAAAAGAACCCGAGGTCTAAGAAAGAAAAAGAAAATACAGAGAAAGAGCGACGATGAGGAGTAGTAACCAGTTTAGGCCAGCGGATTTTTGCATCCTGTTAAATGTCTATGTCATAAATGTGGTATGGCCAATTTAGATAGCTGGTTCAATATTTGTTTTAGCCTTTGGAGCTTCAATAAGCCGGTGTGTCAGAAAAATACCTCTTCTCAACTGAAATGAACGGCTGTGGAGACATGTTTACATGTAAAATGGCTCTTCCGTTTGTTGCTGTGTGTTAGGTTTCAGGTGGAGCATGTCCTCTCTGAGCCCAGTGAGCGCTGGACCGGCTGGAGTGGTCCGGTGAACGAGCCCATACTTACTGAGCTGCTTTCCAGGCCTGATGGGTCCAAATGCTACGGGTGTGTCTGTGGCCCTGCAGCCTTCACAGAGCTAACACTCGGGTAGGTAACACAACCGCACTGCTGTGTTTTATTTAAAAGCCGTCCTCGCGGAGATCCATGTTCTGTTTGACTGACTGCACTGTTTCACTGGTGTGCAATCACAGCATTTAAGAGCGCCAATACAGTCATGTGATAGGTCCTAGAAGTATCATTGGAACAGGCAGCGAGCCTGTTCACATAGTCTCAGATTTTTATATGATCATTAAATAATAAATGTGTTATAAATTCAAAGGCCAAACTGCCTCAGCTCCTCGCTCTATTTTTCTTTGTTTCCAAGGACTTGATGTAATTAATGGCACATATTTTTCCACCTGAAATCTTTGTAAAACATTCAGCTGCACGGCCTGACAACACCAGACTGAGAACATTTTCCATGTGTAGCGTGAACTGACACAGCTTTGTGTTGACCTCCTTTCCTGTGTGCTCTTCTTGTAGGTTGTTGAAGCATCAGGGCTTCAGTGAGCAGCAGCTCCACGCCTTCCAGGGTTGACATGAAGGGAACATTGTGTTTCTATGCATCGAGAACTTGATGATGCTGATACGTTTGAGGTGCTCTGAGGAACATCATGTGAATAAATAGAAATATCACTGGTACTGTTTCAGATACAGTGGATCCAGAAAGTATTCATTCAGCATTTGTCACGATCCAGCCTTATTCCAAAATACACCCAGTTCATTTTTCACTTTAAAATTCTACACGTGATGCACCGTGATAGCAAACTGAAAAACATTTGCTCATCTATCGATCTATCGTGTACATGGCCTTAATGCCTACTCCAGCTCATTTAGCTTAAAGCTGCTCTTAACCTCGTCACCTGCGCTCACTGGGCATATTTCTATTTTGATTGTGTAATTCCTGCTCAGCTGAATGCTTTGAGGAGTGAACAGCCAGTGACACCTCAGCCTGAGTCCAACCTGCTGATTTTTATAACCTGCACCTTCAGTTCAGACAGAACCTCATCACCTGCCTCTAGTTTTTAATTCAGTTTTATTTATGAAGTGTTAAAATCACAACAGCAATCCCTGCGAGGTGCTTTGTATTGTAAGACAAAGACCTGCAATAATACAGAGTTCACATTGCAGGATGTTATGCCACACAGCTACGAGGGTAAAGGAAACCACACACAGAGACTGAGGCCTGTGGAAACCCATGACTGCTTCTCCCGAAGGTTACTAACAATGAAATGTCCCAGAAGTATCTCTGCGTGCTAAAGAAAAGTGTTGCAACAGGAGATTTTTCCAACTATCAAAAAGAAAACTAATGAACGCCAAGTGCTTCCTAGCATGGTGGCACCACCGCCTGGTCACGGTGCCAGTAAAGCAGCCTTTTCCCGGGGCTTTAAAAACGTTGCTCAGGCTAAATTCAAAGGTGTGCTTTGATCATATCAAACTCATTGCTACATAATACAGGCCTCAGCAGTGCCTACCTGTGGCTGTAGCTCAGGTGGCAGAGCGGATCACCTACTAACCAGAAGACATGATACTAATCCCAGGTTGCTCTTCAATGCATCCATCGGGGTGTGAATGTTAGGTATCACTGGAAGCCTAGAAACGTGCTGGTGTGATTGGGTGAATGAACAAGTTGTATAAAGCGCTTTGAGTGCTCAGATAGGGTAGAAAAGCGCTATAAGAACCAGTCCATTTACCTTTAGCTCCTCCCACAATAGTTGGTGCACATTGTTCCCATTGGGCTGTAGTCTCTGGATCTTCAGTTTCAAAAGGTCATAGCACTGAGCTACCAGGTGTTTCTGGGTTCTTTGCCCGTTCATAGTTATCACATTTATGCATATAGAGTGGGTTAGCTGGCATAGCCGTGTTACATCAGTTCCACGTTTCCTGTCCTTACCCGTGTAGGCAACTTCTCACCTGTCCTGTTCTGGTTTCCCAACACCTGACCTTGTTAAGCTGGGTGACGTCTAAGCCAGTAGTTGGGCTTAGCTAGCATTGGGCTCTAGCCCATGCTGCATGCTGCATGCATGTCTTGAATGGGTATAATACGGTCAGTGGATACAATTAGAAAACATCGTTTACATTACAGTAAACTTCATCAATACTTGGTCACCTAACATGACTTATCAGTCAGGGACGCACATCCACTGTTACAGTCACGCCCAAAAGTACCTCAGTACCTCCTCTGCTCCTGCAGTGTGATAACACAACCCTTGAACTGTGCAACAAAGACATTCAGGCTGCAGACAGAACAACGTGATGTGCTATGTAGCTGCAACATATCAGTCATATCAGTGATGCCAGCTCACAGTCTGGGTTTAGGGAAACTGCTCTACTTTTAACATAAGGCTTCAAACTGGCATTTTTTGGAGGGGCAGCCTGTAGCTCGGCTGGAACAAATAATCTTGAACTTGTGGAAAAATAAATTGACACCAATCAGATTTTCTGAAGCTCATTAAAATAAATCCGGATCAATAAAGCCAGAACAGTCTTCACACCTGCACTGATGCTGAAAAGAATAACATCTCCTTCACACATGTGTGGATACAAACACTGTGTCTGCAGCTGTATGCAAACGTTACAGTTACAGTACATAGAGGTTAAATCAGGTGAAACATCTCTAACCTTGGATTATTTTAATTCATTCACAGCACAAATGTGTGTAAAATGTATTAATAATAGTGGTGGTGAATTAACATTGGCTGTTTTGTAGCAGATGGGCATCTCAATGCACACTGTCAAGACAAATGAAAGCATTTACACCGAGTGTGGTGCTCAGCTGCCCCGTATCGCAGACATAACCTGGAAACACAGTCTGAAGAACATA